GAGGAAGGTCAGGATCTCGGCCATCATGAATGTTGTGACATTTGTGATAAATAAGACAGCTGGAAATGCCGTTCCATTCACTCTGTGGACAGTAATGTTAAAAGATACACAATGTACCCACCCCTGCAATGTTAGCATTTGCACATGACTGATTACAGGGCCCAATAACTTTAATTATAGCCCAGTAAAATAATTTTTTTAAAAAGCAATAAAATAAACTGATAACTTAAGAAAAAACATTTGGTTTTGATGGTCATTGTATTTTTCAAATTCCTGCATCCTATTGATTTTTCTCAAGTACTTTCTAAAGCAATCACCTCTTTGAAATCGTTTCCAATTTTTCTTTCTTTTTTCTCAAATCATGTCATTCAGCAGCTTCACCAGACCCAAGCCTGACAAGGGTTTTCATATTCCATAATGGAAAGACCAAAAGAAGCAGGCACACTGCGGAGGAAGAATATTTGTCCAGAGCGGACCCAAATAGGGAGAACTGGGCTGTGTCTTCCTTTCCTCCATGCCCCCAAAGGGCTAAATTTAGTTTACAGGATATACTGCAATGACATTAACATGTTGCAAGAACAAGAATCAAGCCAAAGAGAGAAAAATAAGCTTAATGTGGTGCAAGATATTTAAATGCCATGGCAACTATGATGTCTTCTCTCTTATTTAATTCACTTCCTCAGGTCAGGTCATCCTGCCCTCTCTCCCCTGCACTTCCTGTTGCTGTAATCAAATCAGGTCACCCTGAATTTGTGAGTCCTCTTCATGACTGCAGTCGTGTCTATTTCCAGCAGAATGAATTTTCTCCATCTCTTCCTTTGCTCCCGGACCTTTATTTGGTGCCCTTGATGTTGCCAGTTGCTCTTCGCGTGCTCCACATGCTGTAAATGCTTCCCTTTCATCCACATCTCTTCCCCCACACCCTTCTCCTCAGTGCTGCTCTCCCCGCCCCTCCCTCCAGCTTCTGCAGTTGTCACTAACACAGTTAGCCACTTGATTAGCAACTCAGTGATTCAGAAGCCAAGAACCTTGGTCCTTCTGAAAGGCCCATGCTTCTCTTCCTAGAGCAAGATAAAGTTCCTCCCTCACCCCCAGATCTCAGTGTCCTTACGCTGAGATGACACGGGAGCTTGAATATTCCATTTGCCAGGGTTGCCCCTGCTTCTTCCCCTTTCTTTTTCTGTGCATGTCCCCGGAGCTCTTCATGCTCTATTCAGCTTTTCCCCAGGAAAGGTGGACAGAGAAAGTTTGACCTTAGCATTTTGGTAGTCCAACCTCCTCATTTACAGATGGGAAAACTAAAGTCCAGAGGGCTTAATTGACCAGTTGCATGGCTAGCCCTTGGAGGAACCAAAACAAACAGGGTGTAAACTCAATCACATTGACAGATTTGGTGGGAAAAAGTCTTGTTAAGGGGTGAGCAGTGCCAAAAAGAGTATTGATGATTATTTAAGAGTTCCTTCACTCATTCTGCCTTCATCTCCCTGCCATCAGTGTAAGCAAAAGATCAAAGCAGAGCGGGCACGCCAGTCACAGATCCACCAGGACACCTGGCGAGGCTCTGCCTCGTAGGAGCCTGAAGACCGCCTGGGCCCCTCCAGCCCCTACCAGCAGGACAGGATGAGGGCTCAGTGACAGCCAGACTAATGAATTCCACACAAGTCCCACATCCACTAGGCTTTTCACTATTTGCCAGCACACATAGTGGTGAATTGACAGAATTTTTCCCCCTCAGTGTAAAACGATGCATAAAATACATGATGCCTATGAAAATATATTTATTGCAAAAGTTATATCAGTCTTGTAAGTAAGCACCAGCCTTCTCTGGGGAAAGACATGGGTGGTAAAATGAATAAAATAACTCAGTATTTTGACTGCTTCCTGCAGTGGAAGAGGGACTTCTGTTTCCCAAGCTGAGTGGGAAGAGAGGGATTTATCCTTGGATGCAGAGGAAGAAAGGCAGGGCACCTTAGAAGAGCCACTCCTTGGTGTGAGCGTGGAAGTAAGTCCCACCCCAGAGCCTGGCTGTTGGGTGTCCTGAGCCACCCCTTTCGTCCCTGGTAGGGCTTGTTCTGGTGCATTGGGATCTGCTGAGTTAGGAGCTGAGCTCTGCTGCCGCCGCCCCACACTGTGATTAAGAGCTCAATGATTGATTTTCTAGCCCATGACCACACTGGTGGGGACAGAGTATGACAGAGGAGACTGGCGGGAAGCCAAGTGGAAAGAGGGTTTATGAAATGAGCTCTCAATGAAGAAAACTGTGGGAAAGAATGCAATGGAAGCAGATTTGGGGCCAGTAGATGTGGGAAAATAGAACTCAAAAACGCTCTTCAGACTCGAACTGAAACAAAGCATTTTGCCAAACACAGGAAGAGGATGCGGTGTGTGAGAAAGACTCAGCACTGTTTATATAAAACAGAATATTCGTCTCTGCACCGTCATCACTGACAAAGCTTCACCTTCCTTCTGTACCAGGCACTGTGCTGGGTTCTGGGGCTATAAAGAAGAATCAGTCAGTCAGTCTAGAGAAGGGGATTGAAAACACACAAAATGATGTGTAAAAATGCCAATGGCTCTTAAGGGAGTCATCAAAACATTTTGCCTAAACTTTGGGCCCAGAGCCAGCAGGCACGAGTGGTGGGGGGAGGGGGCTGGGACTGTGTCCCAGGTGTTGCCTGCCTCATGTGCAAACCTTTTTTTTTAAAATTTATTTTATTTATTTATTTATTTTTGGCTGCGTTGGGTCTTCGTTGCTGCGTGCGGGCTTTCTCTAGTTGCGGCGAGCGGGAGCTACTCTTTGTTGCGGTGCGCGGGCTTCTCATTGCGGTGGCTTCTCTGTTGCGGAGAACGGGCTCCAGGTGTGGGGGCTTCAGTAGTTGTGGCACGTGTGTTCAGTAGTTGTGGTTCACAGGCTCTAGAGCACAGTTGGGGTGCACGGGCTCATTTGCTCTGCGGCATGTGGGATCTTCCCGGACCGGGGCTCGAACCAGTGTCCCCTGCATTGGCAGGCGGATTCTTAACCACTGCGTCACCAGGGAAGTCCCTTGGCATCTTTTTTTTTTGCCCTGGAAACTGGAGAAGATGATGATCTGGCGGGTTTTCGTGCATCAGGGTAACACGTAAGAGAGGAGATGATATGTTTAAAAGGGGAAAATGAGAAAAAATATCATATAACTCAAAACCAGTGAGTGACCGAGCTCAGTACATGATGGTTGTTTTTTTTTTTTTTATCAGAAATAAAATCCTGTTTCTGTGGGTCATGTTTGAAAATGATGTAATCCAAAGTGGGGCTTTCATCTTCCACTGCAGGAACCCCTTCTCTTTGCAGCTTTGGAGCCCAGGTATCTGCTCTGGAGGACTTTAAGGAGGTTAAATTTAAGCCAGAAGACTTCAGAAAGGTATCAGCTAAGCCGGAAGGACCTCTGATCAACTTAGCCTAAACTGGGGGACCTCAGAGCCTCTAGTCTAAGCTGGAGGGCCTGATACCAGTGTAGCCAAAGCCTGTGATCTCCTAGGGGAGGAATTCAGGCTGGGAGGAGTGTCTTCCCAGGGCCCTTAGGCAGGTGAGCAGCATGAGGACCCAACTTTCCTAACGCCTGGCCCAGGGCCCTTCCCTCTCTTTCTGAAACAGTCAAAAGGGGTTGAAATTTCTGGCAGTGTATGGGACAAATGTCCCTAGCATTGTTCTCTTTTTTCGCAGAGGAAAAACTGAATTTAATAAGAAACTCACAATACTCGATAAAAATACCTGGCATTTAAGCACAAAGCCAAAAGCAAGGCGTGGTCTCCCGGTACTGGAAGTACTTTGAAATCCACAAAGTCTCATTCGTGTTTCGGAAAACAAAATGGAACAACTTTCTCGGCTCCCTCCTATCCTCCCCCCCCCCCC